TACTCTCATTAATCTTAAATTTCTTGGTTTTGTGCCATCACTTCCAGGTTCTGAGTTAATATTTGAATATTAATTGCAATAATACATTAAGCTTCTCTTCCAGCCTTCTGTTACCTCTGAATATGATAGCCAAAGCACTAATAAAACGTTAAACAGAATAGACCTAAAAATAGAGTCCTGGCATACCATTGGCTCCATGCTGGCATTGAAAAATTAAGGTCCACTGTACACATCAGAGGCAAAGCAAATGATGAATGAATGTGTGATCCACTTCCTTTTGGGCATGCTGTTCAGTAACCGTGAAGGTATCTAATTAATGCTCTCATCCACTCCACCTTTCTCCATCCGAGAAGACCCCAAGGATGTCAGGGTAGGGCCAGTTTTTAATATTTAATATTTTAATGAAGTGCCTTCTTCCAGCTCAGCAATAAAATGAAGCAGAAAGGAGATGAGCATGCCCGGAATTAGAGAATCCTCGCCACGTCCCAGTGACCTCTCCCACCAGGCCCCAGTGTTCTGTCTCCTACATGGTCAGATGGTTTTTCCAGAACAGTCACAGGCTCAGCAGTCTATGTTCCTTCCTCTTTAAAACTGCAGTCATGCCTCTGTTCTGCACAGACACACATGCCAGAAAGGCGTGGGGTTCACACTCTCGGGGCTGGGTGTGCTAGGCGTGCAGCCCAGTTCATTGCCATGACCTCGGAATGCATTTTTAGGACTCTGTGTGTGTGTCCGGTTCTAGGAGCATCTTCCACTCAGGGAGTGTGGTGGTTGTTTATAGGACTAGGAGTCCATGGAGATACATTCCCACATCTCTCAGTACAGAGGCATCCTGGGTTTTTTGTGTGTTTTTAATCATTTCTGAAACAGTCTAAATCTGTGGTCATAGAGGAAACCATTTTGTATTAGAGCAAAGATATGTGTCATTGTTAAAGTTTGTTATTCTTCCTGGAGCAGATCGAGTCCTGTACAAAATGTATGAAAATAGCCCTTTTAGAGTGTGTTTTCCTTTACTTCTTGAAGACAGAAGAAAAGGAACGTCTGTTATTTAGAACAGTCTTGGTCTAGGAGACACCAAAGGAAACAGCTGCATCTTACCTCCATGTTAGCTGCTTATCTGCTAACGCCATCAGTTCTGTTTATGTGCAGCTCTGGTCCAGGTTCCCAGTGCCTGCTCCAAGGGAAAGAGGCTGAGAGGTTTGCTATGCTTGGGAGTTTCTGAACAGAACACTTATTCTTATACTGACTTTCTGAAACCTCGCTGTGCCTGTGAATCATCGGGGATCGTGTTAAAATGCAGATTCTGAATCAGGAGGCCTGGGAGGGGCCTGAGGTTCTGCATCTCTAAAGCTGCTGGGGTGCTGGTGTTGTTGGTCTGAGGGCCACCCTTGGAATGGCAAGGCCTTAGGCCACTGAGCTAAATTTTAAAATACTGATTGAGAGATAGATATAAACATAGACATAGAGATGCTGGAGATGAGTGTACTCAGAATAGCGATTACCAGGTAAACTGTCTGTAGTAAACCCTAAGCAAATCTGTCAATTCATCTCTGAACCCCCTCTTCCATTTTAGCCTTCCTAATGTTTGAACAGTATGATCTGCGTTCGTGGTTCTGTAACTTGGTGTTTATGGACTCCTGTGTGGCTCCATGTTGCAAAGAAAGCTTTCCATTGTGGCGGGAACATCCGGAGGCGAACACCTGGGGGCCCAGCTGAATCATTGAGTTTCAGCCCTGAGGAGGCAATTGGGGACACAGAGGCCATTTGTCTATCTGCAGCTGGAAAGAGACCCTAACAGCAGAAATCCCACTCACCCTTTTTCTTCTCTTCTTTCTTATCCTTTACTGTCTCCTTTCCTTTCCCCTACTGGACTTTTCTAACTTCATCATTGACCTCTTCCTTCTTTTCTATCCATTGAATTGTCACCCAGAGACATGGACATGGTGGCATACTCTGGCGCCCTCTAGTGGTTCACTGCAAAGAGCAAGACACAGCCCTAGCAGCTTTGACTCCGTGGACAGTGTCCACCGGTTGACTGAAGGGTCTGGGATTCAATTCTGGTCAGAGCACATACCCAGTGGGGGGCATGCAGGAGGCAGCCGGTCTGTGATTCTCCCTCATCATTGATGTTTCTGTCTCTCTCTCCTTCTCCCTTCCTCTCTGAAATCAGTAAAAAAAAAAAAAAAAAAAAAAAAAAAACATATATGAAAGAGCAAGACACAATCCCTGCGCTCACAGAGTTTCTCCCTGATAGGAGATACTGACACTACAGAGAGATGATGGGGCACAGGAAAGGGGCACAGCCCCAGAACTAGATCCTCGTCTCCTCCAAGCTGCACTGGTAATAGCAGGCATGGTCCTTCCAAATGTGGGAGGAGGATGGGTTGGATTTTTATCAATCTGGCCCTTTTTGCTCCAGTTCAGTCTTTATTTTTATATTCTTGGTTTTATCATTATCATTATTATTATTATTATCATCATCATCATCATCATCATCAGGAAATGATGGTTACCAATGGGTAGCTTTTTAAAAGAAAATATATGAGCTTGTCAAGGACAAGTCTCAGTGGTCCATTAGCAGAAGACCAGGTCTGAATAAGCAATGTAAATAAGCCAGGGCACTCCTGAGAACCAAGTCAGCATCCTTCTTCAAACTGGGTTCTTTAAAACGTACCTTCAAAGGGGTTTTCTAGTTTTGTATACTGTGCATTCAGTTGTATGGGCAATTTTACATTTGCATTGCTAATGGACCTATTTCTGAGTGTGTTTGACATTTTGCTTGGCTTTGAAAGGACTTTTCTGCTGCTGCTTTTTCTTCCCTGAAGCTGTCTTGGGCTAATTAACCTTACTGGCTGGCCCTACTATATGCAAATGTTCTCATTTCAGATTCTGACATACTATTAATACTTGCATGAACATCCTTAGTGAAATCTTGTGGGGTCTTATTGGATCAGTGCTACTGTAGAGCCAGCAGGGGGCGTATGGAATGGTGGGCTTTGAGTAGATCTATCTTATATAACTTTACTAGCTGGTATGGGAATATGAGAGCTCTTACAGTTCCCGTGCTCATGGTGACTTGAAATCTATAGATGAAAGATCATTATCAGTGCTTTTTAAGCAGCCAAAAGAGACAACTGTTTTTGGTGTATTGTAATTTAATTTTATTCTGTCATTGTTTCGAAACAGTACTGTCATTTATCGATGTGCCAGTACTGGGTGTAAATTACGTAGCTCATTCTGTAAGAGAAGTCTACGCAGAACACAGTTACCTGGGACTTTAAAAGGCTGCAGGTCAGGAGAGTAAATAATTGACATTACTCTTTCTACACAGATATTTCTTCAGCATTAATATTTTAGGTCTTTTTAGTTTTGTTTCTATCCTAGTCTTTAAAGTGCTTTTGTCCTATGAGAACCCCTCTTATAATTGAAATGCTCTTTGATGTTGAGACACCAAATTCCTAAACCTCTACCTTCAACATAAACTGATCAGGGTCATTGTGGTTGGGGGACTTGGTCTCATGCCATTTGTACTTTTATCATGATGTTTGTTAATGATATTTAAGCAAAAACAAAAATGACAACTAAATCATTGGCAAAATAAAGTAAAATTGCAGACCAGAGTGGGGAGTGTAAACTGAATAGGAGATGTGGAATAAGCTGGTGTTAGGAGTGGAGCGGAGGGCTGTCGGAGAAAAGTGTGTAATGATAGGGATATGAAAAGATTTTTTTTAAAGGGATATGGCGATTGCTTCAGATAGACAAGGATCAGAGGCTGATGGCTGCTGCCGTATTATGGTTTTTTGTGTTTTTTTTTTAATTCAGAGTGTAGAAAAGAGTATCTGGGTAGGAGGACCACTGTAACCCCAGGGCACGTGATTCCTCCAGGGGGACTTCACAGCTTCCCAAGGTCATAGCATGGTGACATTGTGCGTGTGTGCAGTTGCTGCCTGTAGGGGGCGCACATATCTAGCACTTGTCAGCCTGGTTCCAGTAGCTTCCATTAATGTTTTGCCTCTTGCCAGCGGGCATCTCTTTGTCCATAGTCATGGTGACTTGGAATTCAGTGTTTACTGGGAGACTGAGATATGTGTCTAAGAAGAGGCTCCAGGTGCACTGTTTGTATGTTTGAGTGTAAGCACACAGGTTCTGATTGGTCTGAAAGAAGTTTCACCTCCAGGGTTAATGGTAGGCTGGCTGTCTCCAAGGAGAATAGGGGAGGGGGTGTAAAAGGAAATTCAAAGGCCACTTCGAAAGACTCAGGGATGAAGCAAGTGTGTACCCATCACTAAAGAAGCCTTCAGTACACCTGCATGATTATCATATATTTTTAAAAGACTGTAACCATACTCATTTTTAATTGTCTCACAGATTTCTTTTAGTGTTCTGTTATCATATGAGTGGCTGTACTGGGAATTCTTGTAAAGAGAATTGTTGCAAAGTTAGGGTGGACCCAGAGTCAGGTGGCATCTTCGAGTGGTGGCTCCAATAGACGGGGATTCAGAGAGAACATGCAAAGTCTGTGAGGCTCTCACTCCTAGCCCGCCCCTCCCAGGGCCTGGCTCAGAGGGCGGGGCCCAGGGGACATTCACTATGTCATCCTCCCTGTGAGTTTCCTTTGATTTTCCAACAAAGTGAAGAAGAGTCGAGGCATGGGACCAGCATTTCTGAAAAGAAAACTTAAGAAACACGTAGTCTACCTTCTAATAAGAAAAAAAGGAGGGGGTATTGAGAAACATGCCTTAGGGGAGTTAACTTCATGAAAAGGCCTCTGCTTGAAGGTTTTTGACTTGCTCCATGTCTTAATCGCCTTCCTGATAGGCTGTCCACCAGAGGCCACTGTTTTAACTGTGTCAATGCCGGGGCTAGCATCACGTTTTCAGAATTCGCAATGAGGCCAAAGCCTCGTCTTAGTCTTGGGAGGACGTCCTTTTCCCGTGCTGATGTCTTGATTTCTTTTCCCTTCCTTCCCGTTCTCTGCCTTTCCCTCTTCCTGCTCCCAGATTCCAGAGCTGCTGCTGGCGGACCGCACCCACGGGGAGATGATTCCTCATGAAGAGCCTGGATCCCCTACAGAAATCAAATGTGACTTTCCGTTTATCAGACTAAAACCAGAGCCAGCCAGCCAGTGAAGCAGTCACCGTGGAGGGGGGACGGCGAAAAATGAAATCCAACCAAGAGCGGAGCAACGAATGCCTGCCGCCCAAGAAGCGCGAGATCCCCGCCACCAGCCGGCCTTCGGAGGAGAAGGCGGCCGCCGTCCTGCCCAGCGACAACCACCGGGCGGAGGGCGTGGCATGGCTCCCGGGCACCCTCGGTGGCCGAGGCCACGGCCACGGGGGCGGAAGGCATGGCCCGGCGGCGGCGGCGGCGGCGGCGGCGGCGGCGGCGGCGGGGACCTCGGCGGAGCTTGGTTTACAACAGGGAATAGGTTTACACAAAGCGCTGCCCGCGGGCCTGGACTACTCCCCGCCCAGCGCGCCCAGGTCCGTGCCGGCCGCCACCACGCTGCCCGCGGCGTACCCTCCCCCGCAGTCCGGGACCCCGGTGTCGCCCGTGCAGTACGCGCACCTGCCGCACACGTTCCAGTTCATCGGGTCCTCCCAGTACGGCGGGCCCTACGCGGGGTTCATCCCCTCCCAGCTGATCTCCCCCACGGCCAGCCCCGCCACCAGCGCGGTGGCCTCCTCTGCCACCGGGGGCATCTCCACTCCATCCCAGCGCTCCCAGCTGGAGGCCTATTCCACCCTGCTGGCCAGCATGGGTGGCCTGAGCCACGCCTCGGGACACAAGGCTGAGCAGCAGCAGCAGCAGCAGCAGCAACAGCAACAGCACTTGGGCAGGACTCCAGGGCTCATGGCTCCGGGGTCCCCACCACCCGCCCCACAGAACCAGTATGTCCACATCGCCAGCTCCCCGCACAACGCAGCAGGGCGCACGGCCTCCCCGCCGGCCATCCCCGTCCACCTCCACCCCCACCAGACGATGATCCCACACGCCATCACCCTGGGGCCCTCCCCCCAGGTCCTAGTGCAATACACCGACTCCTCCGGCAGCCACTTTCTTCCTCGGGAGGCCACCAAGAAAGCCGCCGAGAGCAGCAGGCTGCAGCAGGCCATGCAGGCCAAGGAGATCCTCAACGGGGAGCTGGAGAAGGGCCGGCGCTACGGGCCCCCCACCTCGGCCGACCTGGGCTTGGGGAAGGCCGGCAGCAAGTCGGCGTCTCACCCCTACGAGTCCAGGCACGTGGTCATGCATCCCAGCCCCTCCGACTACGGGAGCCGGGACTCCTCGGGGGTCCGGGCCTCTGTGATGGTCCTGCCCAACAGCAACACCCCCGTCTCCGACCTGGACGTGCAGCAGCAGCAGGTCACGCACCGCGAGGCCTCCCCCTCCACCCTCAACGACAAAAGCGGCCTGCATTTAGGGAAGCCGGGGCACCGGTCCTACGCGCTCTCGCCCCAACAGGCCCTGGGCCCCGAAGGCGTGAAGGCCGCCGCTGTGGCCACGCTGTCCCCCCACACGGTCATTCAGACCACACACAGCGCCTCGGAGCCGCTCCCAGTGGGGCTGCCGGCCACCGCCTTCTACGCAGGGACCCAGCCGCCCGTCATCGGCTACCTGAGCGGCCAGCAGCAGGCCATCACCTACGCCGGCGGCCTGCCCCAGCACCTGGTCATCCCCGGCACCCAGCCCCTGCTCATCCCGGTGGGCGGCACCGACGTGGAGGGCGCGGGGGCCGCCTCTGCAATAGCCACGTCGTCGCCCCAGTTTGCAGCAGTGCCTCACACGTTCGTCTCCACCGCCCTCCCCAAGAGCGAGAACTTCGGCCCCCCCGAGGCCCTGGTCACCCAGGCTGCCTACCCGGCCATGGTGCAGGCCCAGATCCACCTGCCCGTGGTGCAGTCCCTGGCGTCCCCGGCCGCCGTGCCCCCGGCGCTGCCCCCCTACTTCATGAAAGGCTCCATCATCCAGCTGGCCAACGGGGAGCTGAAGAAGGTGGAGGACCTGAAGACGGAGGACTTCATTCAGAGCGCGGAGATCAGCAACGACCTGAAGATCGACTCCAGCACTGTGGAGAGGATCGAGGACAGCCACAGCCCGGGCATCGCAGTGATCCAGTTCGCCGTCGGGGAGCACCGGGCACAGGTAACGTTCACCCCGGTCCCGGGCGGGGACACACCCGCCACACACCTTCCTCACTTCCCGGCGAGATGAGTGAGTCTTCCGGGATGCAGACTCGGCCGTGCTCTGGGGAGAAGGAAAGGCTTTTGTTTATACCCAGACTTCAGTCTCTGAGTCTTCTCTAAGATTCTCGAAGGGAATTAGCCCTGGTGTCCCCAAGACACCTGCTGTTTGCAGTGATCTCACTTCCCTGCACCTGGAATGAGGCTAGTCAGGGCCCAACCTCAGGACAACTTAAGGAAGTCATCACTCGAGTTATGTTTTTGTTCTGGAGTTCAGGTGGGAACCTGACTGAGAAAGGCTGGGTTAAGGCCCTTCTAGAGGCCCATCTGCCTCTCTTTCCCTAACAGGAAGGGACACTGATGGCCAGGTAAGGGTATTAGATGCCCAGAGTCACCCACCATAGCTCACACCAACATCTGTGTTTTAAAATGCAGGTTTTATTCTTGGTCACGTGTGGCAAGGCCAAGAGGTGAGATAATGGCCATTGAAAACATAGTTTCTTATACTCCCAGGTCCCGAAAGGGGACGTGCCACACGGGGCAGCACGGGGAAGCACCAGGCTCAGTCAGGAGGCAGAGGGAGTGAGGAGAAAGGGGGGCAGCAACCTGGTTGTGGTTTCTGTGGGGAGGAGTGGGTGAGAGGATGAGTAGGTGTAGGAATGGCTGGTTTGAATAATTTTATAGTCGGCTCTTCTCCCAGTTGTCTAGTACCTGCTATGGGGTGCCTGGGGCAGGTGGGCAGTGCCAGGAGTCTGAGCCTTGCAGAGGAAGTGGCTGGGTGGTTTGCATGTGAGGGGTATGCTCCCAGCAGAGTTGATTGCTATCTGTAGGAATTAGCTAACCCCAGAGAGGCGATCCCGCCAGAGTCAGCAAGGCCTCCGGATATCAGAGCACCAGAACACAGAAAATAACAGGCAGCGTTCATATAACCCAAGAAGTCAGGGCTCTCCCAGGTGCTCTGCAAGGCTTGGGGTGAATAGGAACCCCAAGAGTCATGTGCAGCCAAGCTGACTCAGGTTAAAAACTAGAACTGGGATCAACTCTCCTATAATTTCCCTGGGCTACTTCAGTCTACCCTTTTCCAGGCTCTTAAATCTCTCGGATGCATTCATTCTGCAGCCCCTTATAGCAAACAGCAGCATCGCTGCCCAGGTTGATTGAGTCAGACAGGCCCCCATGGGAACTCTCCTGGCTGTAGAACCCACTATCTGGGGATGTTTCCATCAGGGACTTTGAAACTCTCCAATGTGACGGCACCTCCTTCAGATGTGTGTTGGAAAAGGGTCAAGGCTTAGCTGATACCGTGTTTCCCCGAAAATAAGACATCCTCCGAAAATAAGACCTAGCGCATGGAAAGATAAGACATCCCCTGAAAATAAGACCTAGCGCAACTTTGGGAGAAAAAATTAATATAAGACACTGTCTTATTTTCGGGGAAACAGAGCAGTTGGGACCTCTATAGAAAATAAAACAAACAAAAAAAGACAAACTAGCTAATGGTTTGAGTTGTTTTAAGTGTAATTTTAAAAGATCGAGTGAAGTGGAGGGAGGCCAATTTTCCAAAGTGTTTTCCAGAACTCCTTTTGAATGACCGGATGTGGGATCTTGCACAACAGCCGGGACCTGCCTTGCCAAGAGCGTTTAGCCCCAAATGCTTTTCTTTTTTTATGGTGAGATGTCACCGTGGGTTTAAGACTCTTTGGTAAGACCCACAAGAGATTTCCCAAAGTTCTGATTCAAAGAAAGAGCAAAAATCAAGATTATTTTTTTTTTTAAATGGCAACATTAGGTAGAACTCACTACCCATCTGTAGTTGCTGCTCACTCTGACCTTCCTACATGGATTGGGGTGGGTCCTCATAGGAAAAAGGCATTCTCTTCAGCAAAGCTGTCTTTTTAACAGCCCCCAGGTGAGGCATGGAAAATGAACAAGTATGAGAAGTAAATATGTTTTCCATGGTACTTTTTTTTTAATCCTTAAAGTGTTAGTGTGCACAGAAGTAGGAATGGAAAGAGGTGTGATTTTTGAAACCCGCTTGGCTCCTTACCAGCATCTCTTTCAACGTGAGAAGAAAGAGCCGCGCTCGCCGTGGGCCCGCTCCTCCGAGGCCCTGGCAGCCTCTCGCACCAGCGTTCACAGCCTCTTTAGGCTTCAAATGGGCCTGGCAGGTCTTGGAGAGGAAGCAAGCATCTCTCTGTGTATTCCCTGCTTGATACTTTGCAGAATGAACGCCTAAACGATAGAGAAATTGGCTTCCAGGCCAAGTCTCATTACCTTCCCGTAGCCAGACCACTAGTCTCTCTGCTGACAGCCAAGGTGCAAATTAGAAGGTGGAGTGTTTGTCACAGCCTGTTCGCGGGTCTGTCAGGAGGGCCCCTGTGCGGTCCGGCTGCATGCTGGGAAGGGCTTCTGCGAAGACCTGCGAGAGAGCTATTGTGGAAACAAGTGCAGGGCCCCGACACAGCCAGTGATTTGTCACTCTCCCGGGAGACTATCAGAAACAGGCTGACATCATCACCGTGAAAATACTCCCCCAGCAGGGCCTGCCTCAGTGACAGAGCATAGTCCTGGAGAGTCAGAGAGAGCTCAGGTCCAGCTTTAATTTACGTGCCCAGGACCGGGTGCTTCCCTCTGTGACCGGTGTCCCCTGGAGCTCTCTTCCCAGCCTGAGCATCAGTCCATGTCTTCCCTGCTGGCTAGAATCACTAACCCTGGCACCTACAGGGAGATTAGAATTGTGCAAATTGTTTACTTAATTAGCAAAATCACAGATTCGATTGGGGAAGTTGAAGGAGCAAGGCTGGTTTTTGTATAGTAGGTGGGTTTATGGCCTCAGGTATAAATCCTAACTGGTTGGAGGGCCTCAGGGAGGCAAGACCTTATAAAACCCATGCGGGATCCCGAGAAGGCCTTGTGGCACAGAGAAAGCCAGCCGGGAGTCCGAATGCGGGTCAGCTGCCAGACCAGTTGTTTTACCTCTCAGAGCTGCCATTTTTCTCATCTCAAATCATGTAGCTGACCCCTTCCACCTGGTGATGCCTGGGCCTCCTTGTTCTGTAATCCTCGGCTTTCCTTCCTGCCTGGCAAGACTGCCCTCATGAAATTGGCCGGCATCAGCACCAGAGCCAGGGGCCATGAGGGCACTGTCCCCATCCCTGGGGCTGGTCCTATGCGACAGGGCATTTCTGTGCACACCGGTGCCCACCCCAGGTGTTACCCCTTACTACCACAGGCGCTACAGGAAGCTTCTTTGGGCCACTCTTAGCGGCCAGTCTTAGTCCTTTTCAGGTGAAGTGCAGGTAGCACACTCCCTCCACCCCTGCTGGGAGGAGAGGGTCGCTGCTTCCATCCAGCCACACCCTCAGCCCTGGTGATTCTGCTTGGAAGCCCCAAGGGACAGTAGAATCCTTTCCCTTGGAGCTTCACTCCCAAATATAATCCACCTAATATTCTCCCAAGTTTGAGGCCATAGGTCTGTGGCAAGTCCCAGAAAGAATCCCAGGCAATAGGGGCTGGAGCATCGCCTGCCTGGGCGGGAAGCAGGTTGGGTGGAAGGAGAATGTGGGATCTGAAGCCAGAAAGACCTCTCAGTCCGATCTGTCCCGCACCACTCCATAGCGCCGGGGCCTTGTGCAAATATTTACATATAATTGCCCAAGTAATTTATCGTGCACATTCTACCCAAGCCTTCCATTCTTGGTTACATAGTGGGAATAATGTAAGAATTAAAGAAAATACATTCAAAGGAACCAGCACATTGTGTAGCACGTAGTAGGCCCTCAACCATGTTAGTGTCCCTGCTTTGCTTCACTTAAGTGACTATGGCCCTGAGGAGGGAAATGGTTAGCTTCTGAAAAAGAAAAGGCTCTGTGCTCTAAACAGAGTTTATGGAAGGAGAGAGAGTTTGGAAAAGCCCAGAAAGAAGGCTGAGTTTTCCCAATGAGCTGGGTTTACCCTGCCTGCGTTCCTGTGGCATGTTCCCATGACGGGCCCGGGAGCACGCATACAGCTACTTCTACATGTAGTGTACATGTGCTTTCCTGAGTGTGCACTGGACTGGAGGGATGGGTGTACGGTCCAGCCCTCCATGTCAGTACGAGGACCCAGGAGGTGACAGGGGCTCATGGGCCTCTCCTGCAGCATGCCCGCTAGGAGAGTCCCACCCAGGGTGGCCCCACCTGGGCGGGGGGACAGAGGGGGGCGGGTGTCCTTCAGTTTCCATCTGGCAGACAGTGTTCTGCATGTGAGCAGCCTCCTACCCCTCTGCCTCATGCTCCCCAGGCCTAAACTTTTCTGAAAAGTACACACACTTTGCTCAGAAGACTTGGAGTCGATCTTACTTGTAAAGTGCTCTGTGGTGAGACTTCTCTTGGGCTGCTTCTCTCCTAATTGCTGAGCTCCTTATGTTAGCGGGACTGTCTGTCGCATCCCAGATCCTCCTGGGGTGACTGCTTCCCTTTACCGCCTCGGCAGCTGCTTAATATTCAGTGCCACTTCCTTCTCCCAACTGTCCTGGTGTGTCTGTGTGTGTGCTGGTTCACTCATACAGCACGTTATAATGATGTGCTTACCGCACGTTTACTGATGGCTTTTCGTTCATCCCACTATTTTTTAATTTGACTGCTGTGTTCTGTGAGTCATCCAGGGTAGCGTTATGCAGTTAATGGATTAGCTGCTGCCTAAAAATAGCTGAAGCCCTCATGCAAGCAGCACATAAGCGGGTACAGCCTCTCGGCCTCCAAGGCAAGCCGACCTGCCAGCGTTTCACATGCAGAGCCTGCTGGGAGTGAGTCTTAATGACCAAAGAGAGGTAGTGGCTGCCCTGTGTTCGAAGCCCAGAGCCAAGCATGGCCCAGGTCCTGGCTGATCCTCCTCTGGGTTTTGACGCGGGAACGGCTCCAGCAGGGAAACTGGCACGCCACGTGGCTGTGGTGTGTGTGCCCCTCCCAAGGCAGATGGATG